AGCCAGATTCCAGCAGTGAAAGGCAGAGGAGAGAGACTTTTTTTCCCTTTTTTTTCGTGGCATTGGTTGCTCTTTGGATGATATCTGCCCTGAAAACTTAGATTACATTAATATTGCTAGCCATAGGTTCTGTATACTGTGGTGATATAGTGTTGTCTTAGTTGCTAGCTACTTTGGGTGTTGTGGTTAAGCAAATTGTTGCCTTAGCCACCAACCACATTTTTTTAGTCTAAACTCTGGCTTATTAACTTCTCTCTACACCACTTCCTCTTCAGAAAACTGCTGTGATATGATGTGCTGTGCCTCTAGGTGAAATGATCTAGATGTTGGTTAGCCCATTCGTCCCAAGGATGCCTGTAAAGCTCTCTTTTACTCCCTCACTGACTCACTCATATGTGGTTATTGACTGTCCACTTACCAGCTCATCTAATGGTCTGGGACTGAAATCTGGGTCTTATGAGTAGATCTGAGAAGACCCAGATCTTCCTCCTGCCCTTAACCTTCCCTACATCATTCGTGGTTTAACACAGTCACTCTTTCTAGTAAAATTCAGGTGGTAATTTCTGTATATTGAGTACCCTCTTTCCACTTTTAAAATGGCGAACTGCCCTGAGAAAAGCAACATATTGCTAAAATTATTATACACGAATTTATAAAATTAAGAGAGCGAGAGAGATGGGACATGAGGACATGAAGCAGCTTACAAGGGGGGAAGAGGAGGGACTGAAGTGGAGGTTAGAAATGAAGAGGACCTGTAGTCTCTGAAGTGCCCCCTGGGGATTGGCCCTAGGACTGTAGCTGCCAAGCAAAGATCCTGTGCTCTTCCCGGGAACCATCGTATAAACTTAGCGCAAGTTCAGCAGGTGAAGGGGTTCATCCCGGACTCAGTTGTTTCAAAATATTAAAGTCATTTCTTGATGTGTAGCTCAGAACAGCGATTCAAGTTGAGTACTTCTTTCTCCCATTAGACAAGAGAACCTTGGATGGACACATGGATCATCTGTTCCTTTTAGCTATTGGCAGAAAGGCAAATGTAAGAACTGACAAATTTAAATTTTCAGATTAAAAGAAAGGCTTATGTTTCCATGTTAAGAGTCATCATATTTGATTCTTTAAATATAAGTAAAGTAAAAGTCTCTACATAAGATAGACCCATTTTAGAGTTCTTCAAGTATTGCTAATGTATGCCTTGTATTGCTAATGGCATTTTTGTACTTAAATTTTATATTATAAAGCCATTAAATTTTTAAGCATAAAAGAGGGACTGCATTTAACAAAAGAATAGGTATAGAGTTTATATGCCAGTACCATTAGGTATTTAAGGATAAATATAATTAGGGCAGTTTAAAATTTGACTAATTAAATTCTATAGAACATCTGAATATCTCGAGAGAATATGGATACTAAAAGCCACAAGAATTTTGTTTTCAATTAGGCGTATATTGACTAGTCATGTGGACATGTTTTTGGGTCCAAACTACAAATCTTCAGATTTAAAAGCAGAGTGACTTTGTGTAACTGGATGTAATTATTCTCAACAGGGTTTAAATAAACTTCTTAGCAATGTTTTACAGATTAAAAGAAACTGTAATAAATTCAGTAATTTCTCTTGTTGACTTAGTTTATACTATTTCCAGTTGATCTGTATTTTCTAGTTTCTTTTTTATTACTTTTTGCTGAATTTTTCTTAATTCAAAAGCATGTGATTAAAAATCTGTCCAATTAGGCACATTGGTTTAGAGAGTTGTCCTGTTGCTATTCACTTAACAAGAAGAAAAATTCTGTAAACTCACCAACAAAGTGTGAGGATAAAAATTGGAAGGAGACTTCTGTGCTGTTGGAGGAAGACAGTTCATTGTTGTGGAAATATTTGGCATAGATTACTAGTATAGTCCTTTCTTGGCTATGAAATACCACACTGTCTAATATAACATTTTAGAAGAAAATTAAGAAAAGATGAATGTGAAGAAAAATGCATCTTCCTTCATACAATATGGAGTAATTTCAGCTGTTTATTCAAGGACTTAAATTTTTGCTTTATAAAAAATAGTATTTTAAAATTATGAAACTGAAATGCACTTCAAAATCCCCTACTTCTTAGTTTTTAAGAAGTCAGAGGGGCATGACCAAAATTAAAATTAAGTCAATTTGTAATTCTTAGCACTTAGGTATCTCACAAGAAGCACAGGGCCTTATATTAATAACTATTCTGTGTGAATGAATGAATGAATGAATGAGTGAATAACCTGCCGTCCACATTTAACTGGCATTTTTGGTTTATGTACTATATAATTTTAAACCATTTACCGGATTCCCACCAGAAACTATTTTATGCTTATTTTTCCCCAAAAAAGTATTTTATGCAAAATAGCCTTAAAAAGAAAGGTTCACAACAAAGATATGAAATTGTGGATAATTTTTTATTTTGTTCTTTCTGGTTTTGTGCATTTTTCAAATTTTTAACAAAAATATTATATAGCTAACTATTTTCAAGATACATGACTAAAATCTATCTTGAAATACCAATTTCACTTCTCATATCTAATATCTCATCTGTGATATAAATTACAGAGGCCTTGCTTTTACATTGAAGCCTACTTTAAAAATTAATGTAATTATAGCCAAACAATGTGTCTAAGATTAACTTAAAGGAAGTAGACTTTTATCTTGACCTGAAGAATCTGAATTAACGTTACTGCCATAGATAGAGAGCAATGTCACTTCCATTTTGTAGTATCCTTTTCTGAAAAACAAGCAAGATACTAAGTTGAATGCCAACTTTCTTCTTGCAAGTATAATAACATTTTTATTATCAAACATTTATAATGTTGGGTAAAAATGTTATTCTAAGTATAATCATTCGGTTTGAATGATTGAACTAAAATGAGTCATGCTAACCAATAAAAATAACCCCTTGCTCTCCCAGATAGGAACTTGGGTATTCTGAGCCTCTGTAGCAGTTGGTAGTTGAATCCTGTGACTAATGGTAGAGATTTTTGTCAAGGTTGATCACATAGACCTAGATATCCGCCCACCGGAATGACATAGCAGGGAGATATCTGATGACTATTGTGAAACATCTGTGAATGCGTCACAGCTATGCCTGGATGTGAATCATTCTTCCCTCAAAAATCTAAAGTTTAATAGTGAAAAAATTCCAAACTGTTATCCCATAAACTAAGATGTTTGGCCTATTTTAGGAGTTGGGAGGGAATGAATACAACACATACTCTAAGACAATGGTCGGCAAACTGCGGCTTGTGAGCCACATGCTGCTCTTTGGCCCCTTGAATGTGGCTCTTCCACAAAATACCACATGCGGGCAAGTGTACAGTGCGATTGAAACTTCGTGGTCCAAGCATGGGCGAGTCTGTTTTGAAGAAGTGGCATTAGAACACTCAAGGGGCCAAAGAGCCACATGCGGCTCGCGAGCCGTGGTTTTCTGACCACTACTTTAAGACATTTGTCAGTAAGTCATTTGGCTGTGATTTAAACCTTTAAAATTAGGAGAGCCTAAAAACTTGTTGAAGGTCATCAGGGAGCGTCGTGGGCCACTGCATGCAATAAAATATACCTTCTTCCATTAATAGCCACCAGAGACTACAGCCCTTACCAGCTTTTCTGATCAGGATTTCTTATCTTTAAATTCAACTTGGTTAAAAGTGTGCAAAACATGATGGAGACACTCCCATCTCACAAGTGCATGACTCTTAAGGGACCTTGTGGGGAGCATTTGGTGTGCAGCTCTTTCAGTGACAGTTTTCTTTCCTGAATGATCCTATTTCACACTGGTTTTCCTAATTTGGGATTAAACTCTTTTCTTTAGGCTACTACCAAAAGTAATAGAAATAAAGCAACACTGGAGGTTTGTGTGAGGCTAGCTAAATGTGAAGCTGTGATTCCCTAGGGACTGCTCATGCTCCTTTTACAACTCTTTCTGGGGAATGTGGCCTATCTGGTTATTGAGACAGGGTGGTGAGTAGGGGCATAGATTAGTCTGCTTTGGTTCCAATTCCAGGAGCAACCTGCCACCTCAGTAGCAACTGAAATATTTGTCTTGTCATTTGACCTTTTCTCCGCCATTTTGATATACTTACCTTTGCTGCTTTTGATTCTTCTTTTTGAGCCTGTATGAAGTCTATTGACCAGGGATGTTCACAAATAACAGTGTGTTTGTGTGTGTCTTTGTGCTTTGTGATATGTGAGCAAGTTGTGGTGGATGTCTTTGCCAATAAATAACAATCATACTTAGAAATTTATATATTTTATGAGAATGTTTTAGCTGTGGCAAACATTTATAAGAGTTTTTAAGAATGAGATAAGTATTTTGTAAGTTCAGATTTTGTGGGATATGTATATATCTGTTTGACAATGGTATAATCAATGGGGCCAACTCCATTAAAGTAGATTAACGGGTTGTAATCCAGAAGTTCTCTGCAATCTTTAAATTATAGACTTTGTGGGCTGTTGGAAAAACAGATCTGTAAATGGAAGAAAATAATGAAATGTGTGAATGTGATGCGCTACTAACAAAGACTAAATTAATTGGATTTGTCCTACAAAATATCAAAAAGTAAATGCATCCCCATTGTTTTGTTTTAAAATAGATATACAACCATTGTTTTGCATTGAAATGGATATTCACACATTTTATCTGATGATATTTGGAGAAAATGAAGATTTTTTTCTCTTTTTTTTTAAAGGAAAGCATGAAGAAGATTATACACATGGGAATATTCATTACTTAAAATCAGCAATAGTTTCTGTTATGAACTTGAAAACAGTTATGTTACTAAACATGAGAACAATAATTTTTTCCTAAATGTGCAGTATAATGACCAGGACTTCTCTCCCTTTTTAGAGAAGCAGTCAAGTGCTTTTGGAACAGAAAAGGCAGCAGCGACCCAGTGAGGTTGATTCCTCACCGAGGAGAGCTGTGCATACCTAACTTACTGGAAGGTAAACTGCTCTTCAATTAATTATGTCCTCCTTTTCTCAAGGTGTCCAAAGACAGGAGGTGGTCTGCAAAAGACTGGATGACAGCTCTATTGTCCAGAACAATTACTGTGACCCTGACACTAAGCCACCTGAAAAGCGAAGAGCCTGCAATATTGAGCCCTGCTCACCTGAGTAAGTAAAAGAAGATAATTATTTTCTTCAAGTGCAAAAAGAAAAACAATGGGTTTTTACATTTGGAAACATGTACTCATAATATGTGATTAAGTTAAACAGAGAAAAGGGGATAAAACATCACAGCAGGTAGAATTTTGATGAGCCTTTCAATGAGCAAAGATGCCTGTTTACGCATAGGATTCCGTTAACTCCTCTAATGCAGGAACTTCAGTAGGCTGATCCTGGCAGTGCTGGAAACTATCATATTTCATCAATTGCTAAAGCACACATCTTTTCCTATTTTAACATCTCTGACATTAGGATTTATCTTGCAACCGATTGTGTGTTACAATAATAATCATTTTCTTCTTTCATTTTTTTCATAATTTTTTAAAATATATTTTTATTGATTTCAGAGAGGAAAGGAAAGGAAGAGAGAGATAAAAAGAGAGAAATATCAATGATGGAAAGAATCATCGATCTGCTGCCTCCTGCACGCCCCCTACTGGGGATCAAGCCTGCATCCCAGGCATATGCTCTTGATGGGAATTGAACCCTTCAGTCCACAGGCCAAAACTCTATCCACTGAGCCAAGCTGGCTAGGGCTATTTTTTTTTTTTTCTTTCTTAATGGTACATAAAATAATGGAATATGAGATTCAATAAAATATAGTAGATAAAATGTGCAGTTCAATATTTTCCAGGTGTTTATTCTAAAGGTCTAAAGACTTCGAACATGGTTTTAAAAATATTCTGCATTGGAATATCAGTGCTTTAATTTCTGGCCCAGTTTTAAGTTCTGTCATCCTAGGCATCTTGTCTTTGGAGTTGGACACAGAGGTGTAACTTCAGCCTCTTTCTGCTGATGGATGTAGCCATTAGAGCTCACTGTAAAGGGAGGCACAAGGAGAGAACCATTCATCTTAACGATGATTTTTAAAGAATTAAAACTTAGAAATATGAGATCTCCTGTTAGTGAGCCACATTTTATAATCTGTAAGAACATAGAGGTTTCTTGTTTGAGCAAAAGGCAGTGACTGTGTGAAAAAAGACAAGGATTCTGAGTTGATCATGCAAATACTGATCTTCATCGGGATTTTGCCTGTTGGACAACTGCAAGACAAAGCCTGTGTGAAGGGCACTGCATTCTTGTTGCAGAGTAACTATTATCCTCCTGGTTAACTAACTACTCCAACATGAACTTGATAAAGAAGGAGAGAGTAAGCAAATGAATTTATATGCCCCAGGATCTAAATAATTTCTTTCTTTCTTTTCTTTTTTTTTTTTTTTTTTTTTTTTAGAAATGATTACAATTAGTTACAAAAACATGGGACTTACAATGAGTAAGGAGTTCAGGTCCCATTATAGTTAAAGCAAGATGTATTTCTCAGTATTTGTTTCAAAGCAGTAATGCCTTATGAACTTTCATTATCCAAACTCAATATTTGCCTGAATATTTGATGTTCACTACAACTCATTTCTTGAAACTAATCAGGGCAGTGGCTACCGAATAAGGACACAGGGACTCTAGAGTGATAGAAGTTTTTATTTTAAGAATTTAAAATTTTTATGTCTCTTCTTTATGAAATATGATCACTGTCGTTTTTTTCCTTAACATCCAGACATGGGAAACATATATAAATATGACCCATGAGATGTATTGTAAAGACAAGATATTTAATTGCGTGTTTTTTTTCACTTTCCCTCTCTTTTGCCAATTACAAGTTTATTTCAAAAAAAGAAAAACTATATAAAACAAAATGATGCTAAAAACCTTGGGCTAAATTTTTAAGTTTTCAGTAACTTCAACATATTTTCATGTAATTATGAGTCTCAACCCATCCACTTAATTCCCTGACACTCAGGATTTTAAGTATTATGTTTGGCATTTGATCATCCATTTAAGGCATCTGAGTGGGTCTGGTCACACCTGTTCTATTTTGGCCTCAGCTTTTTTATTTGTTAAAGCTTAAATGCTATTCAAATGTCCTTTGAGATTTCAGTGGTTGGTCATTCCATCCCATGTATTTTAGGCTTGGCTATTACATGAGGGGGGTGTGTGTGTAACACTTTAAGGATAGTTGGCTTATTTGAATTGGCATACATAATTAAAATAAGATTTTCTCTTTTTGAATTCTGAAAAAAGTTACTTATTAACTTTAAAATTTGAAGCTGAGAGGATGGGATTTGAAAAAGAAAGGTAAAGAGGATATGAGAAGAAGAAAATTTAGGCTGACAGTTTTTTTGAGGGGGGAGAATTAAAGAACATCTAAAATATTACTCTTTGTTGGTTCATTTTTTTCTTAATTCCTTTTAAATTTATTCTTTATTCCTTTGAATTCAGATTGTGAAAAAAACAAAACAAAACACCTCTAAGTCTTCAGAATGGTTGTATATGATTCTCAATAGAATTGGTATTATAGAGATAAAAATCATAGGAAGACTATTGAATTTAGTAAGACTTAATTTTTTTTAAAAATTTTAAATATTTTTTTGTTGATTTTAGAGAGGAAGGGAAAGGGAGAAGAAGCTAGAAACATCAATGATGAAAGAATCACTGAGTAGCATGATCCTTCATGCCTCACACTGTGGTTTGAGCCTGCAACCTGCGCATGTGCCCTGACCAAAAGTTGAACTATGACCTGCTGGTTTATATTGGTTGATGTGCAACCACTGAGCCATGCCATGCCATGCCAGCTGGGCTGAATTCAATAAGACTTTAAATGAGTGTGGAAGAAAGAAGATAGGTGTTTTGTTTTTTCAGATGATGTCATAATTGTATTTTTTTTAAATACAGATTAAAACAAAGATTTTGAAATGCAGATAAGTAAAAAAAATTAAAACACCTATAATACTTATAATATCACTGTTAATACTTTGATGTATATATTTTATGACTTTTTTCTATGTCTGCATAGGCATGTGTATATAACAAAATGTATAATAATAATGTTTATTATACTTTATAATAACTTCTCAACATTATTTTGAACATTAAATATCTTCTACTAAATATTTAGTAGATATGTCATTGTTTATTTAAATTAGCTTCCCACTATTAAACAATTTTGGTAGTATCCTAGCTCTTAATCCTTTCCAAAACCATAGTATTAAGCATTTTTGCTATGAAAACTTCGCTCTCTGTCAGTATGCCCTTATGCTACGTGCATAAGAATAGAATTTCTGGTTCAAATAGAAATATAATTTAGTCCTTTAGACACATTGTCAAATTGCTCTTTAGAAAAAAACATACTCCCATTAACAGTATATAAGAATGTCATTTCCCTAAACTGAACAACCCTGGATATTATTACTTTAATACTTAACTTTGACTATTTTATAGGGAAAAAAGCCTTGATATCTAACTGCTGTTCCACTTAGTATATCAGATTGCTGATGAGGCTGAACATCAAAAAAAAATTTGTGGCCAGTGGCCATTACTTCTTTTTTGGTTTTTCTCTTCATGGCCTATCCCATTTTCCTGTTGAAGTGTTATCATTTTGTTACTGATTTGTATGAGCTGTTAATGTATTAAGACTATTCACTCTTTTATCTGTGCTCCAAATAATTTCCCTAGTTTGTCATATGTTTTCCATATTGTTTATGGTGTTATGATCTATTTTTATTTATGAGTTTTAAAATATTATATGGAAAAGCTCCCAAAAATATTTCTTTCATTAATATAATGTTTAGGAAGGCCTTATCCAGTCTAAGATACTTTCAAATTTTTTAAATGTTCACTTTGATCTATCTAAAATATATTTTTCTACTTTGAGGAAAGGATCCTCATTTATCTTCACATATTATTGTTTTTTTCAATACCATTAATTTAAAATCCTAAACAGTTACTTTTCTAATCAAAAACAATCTCTTCAAATAATGAAATATTTTAAATGTCTTTAAGTCACATTAGAGAGTTTATAAGTAGAAAATTGAAAAATAAAAGGCTGTAGGATTTGCTGTATAAAGAAAATGCATGGGACTAGAAAGACTAGATAAAAAAGACATTGGTAGAGAATTAATAATAATAACTATTATTATTCATTCGGAAGATCTTGAAGGGCCAGAGAAAGCTTTGCTGGGGAAAATTAATGTGCTCAGAGCAGCAATTCTTTTATAAGAAAGAATATAGTAATGAAGAAATTACATGGGACAGGAGGAAACATTGAATGAAAAATGGTAGAATTCATGACAAAGGTTGAAATAATTGGAAAAGGGAAAAGGAGGAGTTGATATTAAAGATATGATTGATAGGAAGCATAACTGATTGAAACTCCGCCTAAAATCGGAAGTAATGCTAAGTTGGAATCGGGAGAGAAAGGCCTAGAGTTCAGTTTTGACCATGTTCTCTTTTAATAGTAAGAATATTTCTATAAATGGCCACATGTGAAGAATCCTTATATACTGAATCTTATTCCAGTATGAAACTGAGGTTTTTAAATTGAGAAAATCAGGAAGGTGAAAACAGTGGAGTGCTATACATTGTGGAACTTTTACATAAGTCAAAACTGCCTTCTAATGCTCCGTCACAGTATTTAGTGTGGAAGGCACGGTGCTTTGGGCAAAATGGTTCCTTTTCTAAAGGACAATCTAATTGGGTGAATTCATATAAAAATAATTGCAGTACAAGACAAAATATGCAAAGAGCAGTTAGAGAGTTATAAGCAAAAGTGCTAAAGGATTCTGTGGCTGGAGAGAGATTTTTACCAAGGGGCTAGGCTTCATTTAATGGCATCTTTTATGGTAGAAAGTTCAACAATTATTTGACTCATTGTGCCTCACCCATAGACAATTATAATTGGTTAAGTTTAGAAAAAGATTCATCAGCGTCCTCTATAAAACTCCAAAATTTAAGACCTGGGAAGAATTATAGGTAGCTGATCTCTAGCGATGTTTTTCCCGTTATACCAGACATCACCAACTTTCTAAGTTACAAATCAAACGTCTGCTGGCATTTTAATACTTCTAATTTTGTTTCGTCAACACATTTTCAATTGCCACAATTTCAGAGATGTTTATTACATTGATTTTTCTTTTTTCTTTTTTTTTTTTTTTTTTTTTTTAGAAAAATGGTTAGGGCATAGAGGCTTCTGCTTAATATTAGATTCACTTGCCAATTAGCTGAGGAAAGAACAATTTTTCTTTTTCTTTTTCTTTTTTTTTAAACCAACTTTTTGTTTTGAAAATTGTTCTAAAAACCTAGGAAAGTTTTACTATTTACAAGTAGTTAATAGGTTACATACTTGAACCTGTCTGAGTAAAGATGTCACGGTCAAATTCTGAAGATTCTTTTTCATTTAGTGATGTGGTATTTATAAAAAGTTTTGATAACTGGACCCTTGACTCTGGGATAAAGGTTGGAAAATTTCAATACACATTTCAACCTCTCAATCTCTTTCACTCATAATCCAAATATTTAATATAAATTTATTTTTATGTGCTCTGCCATTTCCCTTTAAGTTAAAAAAAAAAGCAAAAATAATATTCTGATTTTATGATGAGTTCTTTCTTCTAAAATATTCTGAATCACCAAATTTGGGGCAAAGTCTTTTCTAGTGTCTCTCTTATTTCCTCCTCCCATCCATATTATTATTTGACCTGTTAGTGTGCAGATACTGCAAATTAAATTACATAGGCTGCACCAAACACTTTTATTCCAGACACTCAAATCAAATATGAATCCACTAATTGTCAGTGTCTCATGGATATGAGGGTGCTTGGGAGGATGAAGACAGTTTGACCACGGTGTCTTCAGCTCAGAGAGAAACGGCTCTGGTGTTGTTCAGGCTATAACAATTCAGTGAGTGGCATTCCCAGAGAGAACTTTTGTGTTTAGATTGCTCCCACCGAATCTAGAGGAGGAAAAGAAGAAGTAGGGGGAATGTCATCAGAGGGTCCACTACGTGGAGAATGCAGGTGAAGAAAGCTCTCTGTCTTCAACTGGACAGGGGGGTGGAGACACTGAATCAATAGATGTAGTGGCAAAGTTGCAAAACTATGTAAATACTTGGAGTATGATTTAATCCTTCAGAGAGACCTTGGGAGGGATGATTTTCTGAGCAATAAAGATGCAACAGGAATTGACTGTGAATCAGAGTTACAGTCAGAAGGGAAATGGGGAGGGTGGTTTATAACTTTTACTTTTGTGCATTCCAAGTTAAATGCTGGAGTGACACATCTCTGCTAAGAGATGGTTGGCAATAAAGGAGAGGATGAAGAATAAAAAGGCAGAGGTGGCCCTGACCTCGTGCAACAAAGAACAGTAACACCCCCTGAATCACTGCTGTTATTCTGGGCACCTGTGTTTAATTTGAGGGCCTCCATCCCTCTTACATTATGAGACCTAATGAGATCATGGCTGGAGGTGGTATGACTGAACATTTTGTGGCTGAGTTTACACATTTCTGTTTTATCCCCTAATCTTGGTGATGAAATCACTGTTGCGAATTGAATCAGAGTTTCACTACGGCTGGCATGCAAGTTATTATTCTCAGTACACATTTTCCTCTTTACCAAAAATGGTACTATATCTTGGGATCATGCTCATCTGTGGAAAACAAAACAGAAAGATGAAAACCGCTTTAAATGTTCTCTGGAAAATGACTTAGAAAAAAAGGTTTATGTCAGATTTTTAAAATTAAAGATTAAATTATTTTTAAAATCAATTTTAGGTTGAAAATTTTTAGATTTTTACAAGAAGCTGAGAATCTGCTTAATTATGATACCCCTAAATGCTGGTTTCCTTCTATAAATAAAAATAATTCAAATAATAATAAGCAAAGGGCATTGTGGCATATTTGGCTAAATGCAGACTCAAATTTAGGCTGCTGGTACTCAGACTTCACTAAGGAACCATCTTCCACATATAAAACTGGCACAATGAGCTAAGGTTGCTGAAATAATGAGCAATTTGTTCTTAAGCGTTCAGACTCCTCTCTGGGTAGTTGCCCACCAAAAGCATGAGCATATCCATTGATAGTTGCATGATTTGTAGTCATGGATTGAAGAAAATGCCTTGTGACCTCGTGCTTGTAACCAAGATTCTACTATTTAGCTGTATTAAAAGTGAAATTCAGTGGAAATAGCAACTGATGGGGAATCTCCTAGTTCCATCATTGTTCTTTTCATGACTTTGGAGAACCGTTTTCCTAACACAGGGTTTTATGTTCTTCTTCCCTAAAACAAAGCATGATGCCTTGAACACAGTAGGCATTCAGCATATATTTATTAAATTAAATGCAACAATATGTCAGCCAGGATTTTGGTTGGAAATAATGCAACTTCAGTTTTAGCTAGCTTTAGCAGATAAGAAGGTTTGCTGGTTTATAGGACAAGTCTCAGGGGAACTACAGGAATGGACCTAGCTTGAGGCATGGCTAGAATCAAGAGCACACACACCATTTGGACTCTCGCTCCTCTGCATTCCTTCAAACCAGCTACCTGCTGCTCTTTAAGGCCACCTGCAGCTCTTACCTTTGTGATCAGAAAGGAAAGGGGTTCCTTTTGCTATAGTTGAAATATAAAAATTCTAAAGCCAAACTGTCATTGGTCTGATTTGCACCATGATTCACAACCCTTGGACCAACTAATGTGTCTCAAAAGTGAGTCCTATGGAAGTTTTACACACACACACACACACACACACACACACACACACACACACACACACAGTCCTGAAGTTATATGTATGAAAATTTCCTGATGACTTTAGGGAAAAGGAGTAATATACCCATAAATGGGAGATGTCTACCTTGTTAAGATATTTCAGTTTCTTTCCTCTTTAGCTGTGTCAAAGTTATTTTTAGGAGTAAAGTGCCTCAGGGCTCTGCTCTTACTGCAGGTGTTTAAGACTGTCATGCCTTCAGGGTGGGTGCCTGAGCCTCCTCTACCCCAATAAGGAAGGGAAGACTCTCTATTTCCTATAGAGCCTGACATTTGTGTCTGGGAATCACAACAGATCTCTAAGTTTTAGCATGAAATCCTCAATTGTGAGAGAAGCAGCCTCAATGAATTAGTAATAACAGCTACTGTTGGAGGTCAGAGCCTCTGTTAGAAGCTCTCTGTGATCTGCTAGGCCAGCTAGCATTGTCTCCTGAAACCCCATTAGTAGCATGTCTTCTCTTTTCACATTCACTATATCTTTGTGGTAATTCAAAGTGGTTATACAAAAAAAGGGCAAATGCAACAAATCAGGATTCCCTCTCTCCTATGAAGAGCCAGTCATTAAACATTTATAACACGTGACTGACAGCTTCATACATTGCCTTACTTAATCCTTATAGCAGTTTCATAATTGTATCATTATCCTCGTTTTAGAAATTAATAAAAAGGAGAAGAATCAAAGAGGTTAAAAAATACATACTGCATTATTTATTTGAATGTAGTTCTGCCTGTTCTAAAATTCATGCACTACAGTTTAGAAGGCAACTGACAGTGAATTATTTTTTCCTTAGAAGTTCTTCCATTTGTTATTTGTCACATCAACAACACTGAAATGTCAGCTGTTCTAGGAAAAGGATGTAGTCCATTTGACAAAACTGCCTTCAGTCAGTGAAAATCTCTTTTCTGGGTTTCTCCCACTTCTTGCTGCAGGTGGTTCATTGGAGATTGGTCGGAGTGTAGCAAGACTTGTGATGGTGGATTGCGTACAAGAGCAGTGCTCTGCATCAGAAAGATGGGGCCTGCTGAGGAGAAGACACTGGACTACAGTGCTTGCTTAACACACCGGCCCGCTGAAATAGAGTCCTGCAACAACCTGCCATGTCCGCCTCAGTGGGTGGCTTTGGACTGGTCAGAGGTAAGGACATCGGAAGCTGTATGTTTTGAGATGTCTTAACTATTAACATCAAAGCATTTCATATTAAGGACACCTGAGCATGTGAGCATCTTAGAACCCAATTAGTAAGGGGTTTAAACAGTGAATTTGGCCAGGTTATATTTTATTGCTGCTTATCAGGAAGTAAGTTTTTTGGGGTCAGGGAAATCAATGAGAAACTAGTCTGATTCAAAATAAGCCTCAAGTGAATTTGAAAGAATATTATAGTAAGTACTCCTCTACGTGGTTTTTCTTCTTTACTATTCTTGAACAGCCTCATAGGCTTAGAATTAGTGATGTATCTTCTTTCCCAAGTAATCTTCTAGCCCAATTACATAACTCAGATATGAATCTTTGTCAATTTATTATCACTTATTATACAAAGAGGAGAAACCTGGAGCTGAGGTGTAACATACCAAAAAGTCAAATTTAGATTCTATCAGTACCTCCATGTAAATGGTCATTGGCGAAGACCTGACTAAAATAATGTTTTTCTGGCAGCCATGAATAGAAAAGAGCCTAATATAAGTTAGAGGTCTCAAAAAAACACTCTCATGAAAAATGAGGTAAGAGGTAGAGTTCATTCTTAACTCTTTATTCTGTAGGAGACATATGCATATACACTCTACACCATTCTCCACATTTCCCAAAGGAAAGCTGAGTCCTTCTGTAGTGTCGGTTAACGGCAAGAGGATGAGTACCTGGTTACATGGCTAATAGTCATTCTTCTGGTTGGCAAAACAAGATGCATTTCCTCTTGGAAACATCTACTTGTTTTAGATGTTTTCTATAAACCTCATAAATTTCTTAAAAAATAAACAACAGATTTGCTATTTAGAAACTTCTGGATGTAACTTTCCCCCTGTGACTCTTACTACTTGAGTGGCCTTAGTTTGCTAGAGGTATGGGGGTCACAGAAGGGTGTGGGAATGGAGATTTTGACCAGTTGTGATTATCCATGTACAATCTTTGGCAAGGATTTGGAAGTGTTTTCCCAAATTTCCTGGCCGTAATCCAGCTTTAATAGTTACATTCTGCCCACCTAAATTTTAGTTGTGTTCCAATCAGATGTAGAGATATTCTTGATATTATTCACTCTGTGGTTATGAAAAATAGTATGAACTTGTCTGTTCCCTAACAGTGGCTGAATTAACTCCTAAATTCATTAGAAAGGTAACATCCTTTGATAAAGAATAGACGTTCTGCAGAGTTGTACACATTAGTACTTTAATTCAGTATCCAAGACCCATATCCAAGAAGTCCATCAAGAGTCTTTGATTAATGATGACAAATTTGGTTCTGAAGACTAGAATCATACTGGGGAGACCTGATGATTGACTGCAGCAGTTTGAGGGTTTCAGGTCAAGTCAGCAAGTATTATTGAGTTTATTAAACACACTGGTCTAGTCACTATGGAGAATACAAAAGAATTTATAAGATTGGAAAAAGAAGAAATACCCATTTAATAACTGGAGAATAATATAAGGGACTATTTAATAAAATGGTGGACTGTATAGTATAAATGTGTAAGTGATATAGAAATTCAGAGTTGAGGAGGTCAGAATGGCCTGAAATAGGATTGGAAGGTTTTTCAGTTCTTGGGAATTGAGCTGAATGATGAGGGAATATAGGATTTGAACTGGGAAACTAGAGAAGGTATTTCTGAGAAGAGAAACAATAGAAACACAAAGACTATGTAGGGTTGGAGAAAGGGTTGGTTTTAAAGAATAAATGGATGATAAGATTGTCTAAAGTAGTGCTAGGTTATAAGAAGGCTTGAATACAAAATTCTATACCACATCATTTTTCTACAGAAAGTGGAGAAAGTTGACAAGCTCATATGCAGACACTAGGAAAAAATTTGTACCAACCACTAAAACACCAAAGCCTTTCTCATGTGCAGACTCATTTCACATTGGTCTCTTGACCTACCTATTTCTATATAATTGTATTTTTAATTACATTGAGAAATAGCTTATTATATTACTGTACATTTCCATTCCAAATAGCATTTTAAACTTTTCTTCCTAATTCAACCTATAGTGGTTGTAGTTACCCTCTTTTAGAAGTTTGATTCTTATCTATCCAGTCTTAGAGGCTTTTAGGTACTCTTAGGAGCTGCCTGAAGAAGTATGTGTAAACTAAAGGGGTTTTGAATCACATTGCTGCTGTCTTTTTTAAGATAGCTGAGTCAAAGTTTAGGGGAAAGAAGTTGTGCTGAAGGTGTCAAGTGTATGTGTTGGGACAGTCACCTTGAATCTTGGTAGCTGCTGATGTCTCTCCATAGACAATACAGGAAAATGATCCTAGGGTAAGCACTAGTCAAAAAATGCTGCCATTACTATCTCAAATATTCATCTTCATCCTTTATTCAGGAGGAAAGATGATTTTTTTTTCTCCCTATTCAGTCCTGTTTATTTTCCACAAGAGGAATGCACTCTCTCCCGTTCATTTCCTTAAGTTACCAGGAAACCCACCTCTTCCCTTGATGGGTTAAAAAATAGGTGAAAGTAAAGAGCATTAAATGGAAAACAAAGTGAAAACAAGGAGCCTGTTCCTCCCACTAGTGGAAAAAAAGGAAACTAATGAACAAAAACAGACCCAGAGAAAGAGAAGCAGCAATCAGACTCTCAAGCCTCAGAGGGAAAGTAGGGGAGGGTGGGAGTGAGGGGGAGAGATCAACCAAAGGACTTGAGTGCATGCATATGGGCCTAGCCAGTGGCCATGGACAACAGGGGGATGAGGGCATATGTAGGGAGGGGTTTGGGATGGGAATGGGGGGATGAGGACAATTATGTGATACTATAATCAATTTAAAAAAAAAAAGAAGAAGAAGAAAGAAAGAAAAAAGGAGGCCCCGGCCGACAGAAGGGCAGACAATGTTGAATCTCTTTCAGTTAACTTTTGCAAATATTTCACACCATATTTCTTTTGACACTCCCATGAAAACTTCCCTCCTTTTTCTGCCCTCTCCCATGTCCAACTATCAGCTGTCTGAGCTCTGCTCATCACAAGGGTGAGGTTCGACTGGTGGAAACATGTTGCAGGAAGAGGAATGTACCCTTTGACCTTTCTCTTTTCATTGCCGGCCGTTCTAATATAAAATTTCCGTTGTTGCCAGGCCAGGAACCGTTCTTTGTTTTCTCCGTCAGTGAAACCCAGCCGGTGCTTATGGCAAAAGAAAAGAAAAAAAAAAAGAAAAGAAAAAAAGCCAAATGACCTCAGTAGAAAATGGCTCCTCAGAAGCCTTTTGTGAAACGAATGAAGCCACAGCTTTCCCATTCCTTATCATCTAGCCTCACTCTTGGGATCACCCATGCTATGTTGGACTTAAATAGTTTTCTGTTTCTCTCTGTCTTGGCATCTAACTTAACAGCATACTGCGGATGTGCTCCAGCAATCCCAAACCTTTCTTTTGATGCATCAGGAAAGTTTCTTCAGGCTCACAGAGCACCCATTGGGAATGTTCTGTTTCTTGGAGTTACTCTTGGACAAGTGATGACCGGCATCATAATCAGTTGACTTTATAGGACTTACTTTTGGGTAGCATTTCTTAAGAAGGATGGAGGGCCGGGGAGAGGGGTGGGGAGATCTACTCAAAAGGGACTGTGATTTGCTTTGTAGACAACTGTGATATCACTTTGTTTACTCCCAGGTTCCACTCTGGCCCCATAACTAAGCAAATGAAACCCACCTCTCCAGAGAGAACTCAGTCTAACCCCAAAACATGAACATTTCTATCCTTTACATGTGAGAGCCAAATTGTTTTCCCTGGTGTAGTTTAAAATACTTTTTTTTTTTTCTTAAAAATTTGTTTTTCTTTCTTTCTTTAGAACATTAAACAAAAACATAAATGCATTTCTCACAAAAAGCACTTCTTATATCCTACTGAGATGAAAACAAGACAAAAAAAATGATCTGGTCAGATTTTAAATGTTAAGTTCTCATGATATGGCTTATTGGCATGGCTCAGTGGGTGTCAGCCTATTAACCAGGAGGTCACAGTTCGATTCCCAGCAGGGCACATGTCCGGATTGAAGGCTCGATTTCTGGTGTGGGATGGCAACTGATCAATGATTCTCTCTCAGCATTGATCTTTCTATCTCTCTTTCTCTCCCTTCCTCTCTGAAATCAATAAAAAATATTTTTAAAAGGGCTATCATTCAATTTTATGTCCCCCCTTTCCCAGTCTAGTACCTATAGAGAATATGAAAATGTTTTTAGTTTTTTAACTGAAAGGTCTGTAAACAGGTTCAAAATGTTGTGGGTAAGGTTCTCATGTGGCTGAGAGAAAGTAGAGATTTTAAGGAAGTGTGCAACTCCTCACTTCACACAGATAAGTTCTTGTGGTCTACTAATAACATAAGAATTTTCTTCAGAAGACTACACCCAGCAAATAGAAAACCAACAATTCCATATTCCAGAAACTAGCAGAATCTTATCACAGCTGAATGTGGCTAAGGATAGGGAGGAATCGAGGAATAAACCTACCCACAATAAAAAAAAAAAAAAAAGGAACAAAAAGAAACTAAGTTAGCCAAGAAAAGAAACCTTTGGGTTTAGTTCTTCAAGACCTTATGGAAAAAGGTAAAAGTATTATACTTCTGCTTAAAAATGTAGGGAATTTTCATATCTGAAAGACTTTGCCTAGAAGTTAGTGTGGACATGTACTGAATATCCTAACACATACTTACTTTAAGAAACACTTTCTCTTGGAATTCTCCTCTACCCTTTAACTGTCGTTGTTCATTAATATTTGTTTTCTTTCCAGTGCACTCCCAAGTGTGGTTCAGGATTCAAGCATCGGATTGTTCTGTGCAAGAGCAGCGACCTTTCTAAAACATTGTCAGCTGCGCAGTGTCCATACGGGAGCAAACCCCCTACCCGCATGCGCTGCAGTTTGGGTCGCTGCCCTCCTGCTCGCTGGGTGACAGGAGACTGGGGCCAGGTAAGGCAGCTGTACTGTGGACCCCTTTGAGGCAGCACCTGAGACACAGGTAGCAACATATAGAAATCTAGGTGTAAGATATGAGTGCGGAGCAATGCACAAACAGTAGCATCCACCCATAGACACACTTAGCTCCATTCCTACATACTTCTCACTTCTACCAACTCCTTGGATCCTGACATTTTAACTTAAAATTAAAAGCAAAATAGTCTAGATGGCCAGAGATTTGAACAAACTACCAAAAATTTGAATTTTAATCCCAACTTTCTCAACTAATTTAAGAACAAGTCAGTGAACACCAGTGTCTTAATTTTCCTACTTGCAAAGTAAATCCTTTTAACCTCACAGAAAAGATAGGAGGGTTTTGATTGATAGTCTTTGAGAAGTCATTAATACTTATTCTTCAATGGATTTTTCTGATGGAGATAATGAATTGGGAAACAAGTATATAGAGCTTTTGGTATCTATTTTTATATTATACCCATTTCCAGTCTATGTTCCAGTTCTTTTCCCCCCTCACTTTTAAATTGTGTTATCTTGCTGAAGGTACCTTAAGTCCTTTAAAAGCAACTTGTTATTTTTGCACAGAAGGAAAGTTAAAGTATTGTTATTTTTTAGTGTACAAAAGAAAAATCTATTAGGTTATGTTAAAAATGACATTCCAGAAATTAAATTACTAGACTATCAACGCTCTTTTTCTGTGATTTTATGGTTAACCTTCTAGTAAATCATTTTTTAAATATCTGAAACCAAAATAAATTATAATGGCATATAACTACACTGGTACCATTTTGTTTGTGCTCTGTTTCTACCGTTACTTATTAAAAATGGCACTTCATAGAAATTGTTACCAAAATTCTGGCCAAAATTCCAAAATTCAAAGTATTGCTAGAGTATAGCAGTATCCTATAGACCTCTTCTGTCACATTGGAGAGCAGGCAAAAATTTTCAGTGTCCATTAAGGCAAATTAATATACTTGCTCAGCCTTGTGAGGCAATAAAGGAAGTATGATCATAAAGTAATTAACATTTGCATTTGTATAGCAAATAATTAATAATTTGGTTTTCTATAACAGTATTTAGTTTAATTTACAAAGTGCTCAAGTGGAATACACATGAGCATTGTATGCAATTAAGTGTTTCATTGCAGAAGTACGACATGTCACAATATATAATTGATATTACACTATTAATGAATCAGAATGGGGGGTTGGAGGGATGGATGGATTGAACAAAAAAAAGCAAAAAGAAGAGAGAGTGAGCTCAAGGACATGGACAACAGTATGGTAATTGCCAGGGGGAGGGTAGTAGGGGAATAGGGGGGATAAATGGTGATAGGAAAAAATAAAAAATAAAAATAAATATTTGCCAAAAATAAAAAAGTATCAGTACAAACATGCTCTCATCATTTTTATTTAAACAAGGTAGGAATTTCTTTCCTTATATATTCATCATTGCAATGCACTGTTATATAAAGGCCCATTGAAAGTTTTAGCATGTTAGTGATTTCCTGAAATTTACAGTTATCAATTTGAGATTATTCTTTTAAATGTTTTTGAATCCTTTTCTTCTCATCTATATTTTCAATTCAGTTTCCTAAAATTGAAATTAACCAGTAAAAAAAGCAAAGATGCTTTACTACATTTCTACAGTGCAGTTATTTGTCATTCTGTGTTAAGAAATTTAAAAGTAAAAGTGTCTGTGAATATCCTTGCAAGTTCTCTATGTGCTTTTTGAGAGTTTTTGTAAACAAAACCTACAGGCCTTGGTTTGTTTACCTTGTAAATATCCCCGTGGCCTGTCTTGGCACCCTTTAGCTCTTCATCCCTTTGATCTCAGATCTCACAAGCTTTCTGGTATTCTGGGTGGCAGGCCCAAAGAATAGATGGAGCCTCCTTCTTCAACCTGGACAGCTGATCAGTCCCAGCTGAAACTAAGCCACTCAGAGAATAACTTCAATTCTGAAATAACAAAATCCCTGAGCAGATAAAGAAGGAGAGGGACACATTGCTAATTGGCTAACAGCTTCTCAGGCTTGTGTGGCTAATAGTACCTTAGAAAATTTGTGGAACTTATTTAAACTTTCTTTTTAAAAAAATATTTTAAATTATTTTCAGAGAGGAAGGGAGCAGGAGAGAGAGAGAGATAGAAACATCAACAATGAGAGAAAAGCCATTGATTGCCTTCTGCATGCCCTCCACTGGGGATCGAGCCCCCAACCTGGGCATGTGCTCTGACTGGGAATCAAACCATGACCTCCTGGTTCATGGGTGGATGCTCAACCACTGAGCCATGCTGGCCAGGCAAACATACACTCTCTCTCTCTCTCTCTCTCTCTCTCTCTCTCTCTCTCTCTCTCTTCTCTCTCTATCTCTCTATCTCTCTCTTTAACTGGCTGTGTCACCAGACCTCATAGCAGTCACTGCTGTTACACTGAACTAATGCTTTGGACAGATCCAGAGCACACAAGTAGACCATTAGGTTGTTTGCCCACAAGCCTATAATAAGTAGTGAGCAATAAGTAGTGGTGACCATTCTACTTCATCTTGAGAGTTTTCTTATTATACTCCTATTAAGAGTTCACCAGCACTGCTTGGAACTATGGAATGTTAGTACAAGGAACCTTCATCTCTTATCTTCTGGGAACTATATTGCTACCATTTTCTAGGGTAATGGCATGACCTTTAAGATGCCAAACCAATTCTATAGTAGAATGCCCTAATCATGCACCTCTCTAAGATGAACTACCTATGGGCTTTAATATATGTGATGCAAATATATGTGATATTTGAATTGACATAGTATCTTTTTTACCTCCTGAAAATTGTTGAGATCAGCGTTTTGTTTCTCTCTGTCTTTGGGTTTAGTGTTCTGCTCAGTGTGGCCTTGGACAGCAAATGCGGATTGTGCAATGTCTCTCCTTCACTGGGCAGGCATCTAGAGACTGTCCAGAAACTATGCGGCCTCCATCGATGCAACAGTGTGAAAGCAAATGTGACGGTACCCCCACTTCCAATACTGAAGGTGAGTTTCCCAAGAAGAAGAGGCCTGTGGTCTCTAGTGAATCACGAATACTGGTTCCCAGTGTTTGAAGAGCCCATGTAAACACTGTTTGTGTAGAGCCGTGGTTGGCAAACTGCAGCTCGCGAGTCACATGAGGATTTTTGGCCCCTTGAGTGTGGCTCTTCCACAAAATATCATGGCCCGGATGAGTCTATTTTTTAAGAAGTGGCGTTAGAAGAAGTTTAAGTTTAAAAAATTTGGCTCTCAAAAGAAATTTCAATCGTTGTACTGTGGATATTTGGCTCTGTTGATTAATGAGTTTGCCGACCACTGGTATAGAGCATTTATGAAAGCTGAGCTGTGTCTTCTGACACTTTCCCTAACTGTATGACCTTGTTAAGTCCTTTAATCTTTCTGGAGTTAATTTTACTAATGTTAATGTAAAAAGCATTCACACTTGTAAAAAATTTTTGGGAGTTTATTTGAGCCAAACCCAGCAATTCCGGGAAGCAGGATCTCAATGTATTGGAAAAATGCTCCAGAGAATGGCAGTTTTCACCTTATTTTATACATTACAATCAAAGGTGGAGACCCAAGTGGATTACATGAAATCCATTGGTGATAGATTAGGGAGGCAGGAGAAAGCAAAAGGGGGAGGGGTTGGTTATGAGGAGGCGGTCCCCTGGGATTAGATACGAGGTAAAATGATAGACACATACAGGATAGTTAACATTCAACAATTAGCATAACAATAACAGTGTAGGGATTTGTGGTATCTGTCCTGGTGCCCTGGTGTATTTGGTTCTGGAAAAAGGGAAGCTACCAATTATCCTGACTTTTCAAAGGTATGTTATCTTAGGTAAAGATCAGAAGTTCGTCTTTGTCTAGGGAGATACTGGCCTACGATGTGACTAGCCAGTATATAAGTGCTTTTTAATTAAAGGTTTTTATTTTCAGACCATTCTTTGTTACTTTAGGTCCTTGAGTTTGCAAGATTGCCATTCAGGCCTTCCTTAAATTTGTCAGCACGCGGCCTCTTTTTCATCCACACTAATCTATATGAGAGATTGGAGTAATCTCTAATGTCACATCCAGCCTAGCATTCTATGTTCACTTGGTGCTAGAAATATAGACATGATTTCTAATGAGCCATGCTTAAGAGTGAAAACTTCTGTTTCTTTGTGGATGTAACTTTAGCTCTCTGCCATCATGAAGATGAAAAGTCCTGCTTGTTATACCTATAATGAAAGCATATGTTTGAAACTAATGTTTCAAATGCTAATTTTCTCATTGTAGAAAAGTAGAAAAGATAATTACATAGCAGTTTTTATAGGAGGGCAAATTTTAGACTCTGAAATTTCTTTGTTATATATTGGGAAATTTCTTTACTAACAACAGATAGCCACCCAAATCCTAAATTTTCTTCTGTCTTTAATTAACTATACTTGATTTATTCAGTTAGATATTTCTTTGAAATTTTCTGAATGCTACTTTGTGCAAGGCACTATAACCGAAACTGGGGTGTATAGAGACAAATATGACTGCCTTCTCATCTGAAAATAAAGGCATGATCAAATACATACACACGAACATCTGAAGCCATGAATTTAAGTTATGTTGTAATCACAGCGCTAGGGCTCTGTTTGAAAAACAAAGTAAAACAGAAGTACCTAATTACCCTAAATATAGTCATTAATATTTTTCAAATGAAAATTATATTTTCATAAGCCTGTTAAAAAGAGATATATTCCTTTTGACCAGCTTTATTCAATTAGAAGGATTTTCTTTAAGTGCTATTTTTTAATGGTTCTGAAGGAATTTGATTTTAGAAAGACCAATCACCTTGCATGACAGGATATAGAAACATTGTGTCTTTACAAATTGTCTGGTTTTTATATCAGAATCTCAACACAATATACCTCTTTGTATAACGCTTTTAAAGAAATATAGCCTTATTTTTCATTAGTTCAAAGTTACAGTGTTAATTTGCAAAATCTCTGACTCTAAATAATCTAAATAAAAATATCTTCTATAGGACTGCAGCAAGTAACTTTTTTTTTTTTTTTGCAAATAAAACTTTTATCCATTATAAATTATTAGTGATCAATCAAATGGATTTGGGAATCTGTTTTTCTATCAGAGTTGGAAAACAAACATTAAAGTCGAAGAGAGGATATAATTATAATATTAAATTTGTTTCTGTTGAGTATTATGGTAGGCCCTTTGTATTTATTACCCATCTTATATATTTCATACATAAATACCTGTGAGAGAGAGTATATATATATATTACATAATTATGATAACAGCCTTCTAAGAGTATGTATTACTGATGAGGAAACTGTGGCACAGAGAAAAGTAATGACTTGCCTAAATCACAAGATTCAGAAGTAACAGTCAGGATTTTAACCCAAATTTGGCAGAGTCTAAGGCTATGTCAGTTTCAACTACATTTATATGCTATTTGTAATCCACTCTCTAAAATTGGGTAATTTAATATGAACACAGAGCTTCTGGTTATGAAGTAGACATACTTCTGGCATTACCATTAACCTGATTCAACGGATAAAGGCATAATCGTTGCTGAAAGAACTGGCTTTTAACATGCCCACAATAATATCTGTTGAGGTTATGTTTAGCCCTTCATTTTCAGCCATTTTAATAATTTCTCCAAAATTTTATCTATAGTCAATAATTATTACACATAAGCCTTGCAGCTGAAGGTGAAATGCTCTTGTTGTGCCCAAGTGTCATAAACCCCAAAGACTACCAGGGAGCCGAATCCGATGCAATTGCAGAAAGCCTGTGTTTATTTCGGACTAGTCCGAGCCCAGTCTCACCTACACCAACGAGGGCATGGGCGAGAAAGAGGAAGAACTTAACATATCAATGGGTTTTATAGGGAGGGTGGTGCTGCTACCTTGGCTGACCTGATTGGTTGGGTTAGACCTAGGGTCCAGTTACCTGGAGCTGGACCCGCCCCCACCTGCCCTCTCACCCCACCTGCCCTCTCGCCCCGCCTGCCCCCTCACCCCGCCCTGCCCTCTCACTCTTTTTAGATAAGTTGGCAGAATATCATTTGTAATTTCACTTCTTTCTGTTTTAGAGAAATTACCTTAAAGTGGATAGATATTAATGTGATGTTACTCGGATTATTTAGAGAAACATCTCATAGTCATTTAATCTGCCCGGACAAATAACCTTTTATTATATTAATGTGAAATAAGCAGTTAAGATAATATTTTTAGTTTTTTCAGTAAAGGAGGAAACTTTTAGAAAATTATTAATCCTATAATGTATGACTAATCTCAAAATTGTTATTCAGCTAAAGCTGTTGACTCCTTTAAAAGAGGATCACTCTTTTTTACAAAACTAGAACTAAAGTACAAACAATAAACAATATGTTTGTTATAACTTGTTTTGTGATCTCTTTAGATTCTTATTAGCATATATTGAATATATTTAAGTACCTGAAACTATCTGTTTATTTAACAATAGCTAATTATTGAATGCTTGCTGTGGCCTACTGCTGCCATTCATTATGGAAAATTCAAATACCTTTATAAGTTCATAGTCTTATAAAGAATATAAACTTTGAAAGCGGGTTATTGGAAGTTATGAGACAGTTTGCTAAGAAGCCGTTGAGATTCTGGGCATTCTTGGCAGAGGATGAGTATGCAGGCATGGTGGTGTGGAGTGTGTTCAACATGGCTATCATGGGTTGCCAATGAGCAGCAGTGAAAATGAAGTCACAAAAAGAGAGGGAGACTTAGTTTTGGAGGGTCCTGCATGCAGAAGAAGGAATTTAGGACACTCTACCTACCAGTTGTAGGAAACAAGTACAGGAAGTTAGGGAATGATACTCTTAGGATGGGCAAGAGTATCAGGGAGCTGAGAGAGGGCAGCCTTGTGTGGGAGAAGAGTTAGAAAGTTGTTCTAAGATACCAGGGTAGAGATGATGAAGTCTTGCATTAAAGCAGATTGAGTACTGGTCAAAAGGAGGGTAACAAATTGAAAATAAGAAAAATGAATAGAAAGGAGAATAAAAAGAACCAGATACACAAGTAGACACAAAGGTGGTCAGTATGACTCCCAAGTTTCAAATTCACTCATTAATCATGGTACTTTTAATCATGATAAGGAATTTAGGCATCTATAAGGAAATTAAGCACCATAGTATCCCAAAGCTATTATAAAATAATGGAACTTGATAGGCAGGAGTTGGGGGCTTGGTGAGAAGGGTGAAGGGATTAAGAAAAAAAGAAAGACTCATGGACACAGACAACAGTGTGATTATTGCTAGAGGGAAGAGGGGTGGAGGGAGTTGAAGAGATAAGGGGGGATAAATGATGATGGAAGGAGAACTAGACTTGGGGTGGTGAACACACAATATAATATACAGATTATGTATTGCAGAATTGTATACTTGAAACTTATATAATTTTATTAACCAATGCCACCCCAATAAATTCAATTAAAAAGTAAAAAAACAATAAATAAAAAATAAATAATGGAGGGAAGTTGAAGAAATGGAGGGAAGTTAAGCAACAAAAGACAGATAGATAGTAAGAGAAAGAAAATAAAAATGAAAAGTAAATAGGAGGAGGAAGAGGAAGACAAAATCTGCCATGTTCCACATCTGCTTTAGTTTTCTATTTCTGAAAGCCTTCAGCTGAGAGTTAAAGCACTATAGGCTTGATCTTGACAGACTGCCACTGGTGAGGGTAACACGGCGGTGCTGCCGAGAGTGAATTATAGGCATGCTGGGTATCACTGCATTTGAAATACTACTCAGAGTAATTTTTTAAAGTACATCTGGCAGCTGGGACTGGCCTACTCCAGCTCACCTGAAATTCTATCCCAAATGCCATTTTATTCATCTTGATGCAGTTTCAAGTTCCCTTGTAGTTTATATGATGAGTCTTTTCAGCTTCTCAGTAGCACAAGGCATGCTGTCATCTAGTATTTATTGCTGCCAAGTCATGATTTATGGCGCGTTGTGAGCTGGTAACCAACCCAGG